GTGTAGTCCCAAAAGATGCAGGATTTAAGTTAGAGAATGCACCCCAAGTCCAGGAAAGCCCTCTGAGAGTGGGTTTTGAATCTAAACTGCCTGCAGCACGTTTACTTCCCGTCAGGTAGAAGCGATCAGTCCTGTAAATCTGACCCCACAGGATGGAAGATGGAGCCACAGCTCAGGGGGACAGAACTTCTCCTTTAACTGCCTGCCTGCGCCGGGTGCGTGAGCTGCTGCCCTTGGTGATTACAGAACTCCAGGGAGCTCAAGCAAGACCCCGCGTCCCCGAGCGTCCCCACTGCCGCCGAGCTCCGTGGTGCTGGCCAGACACAGGGCTTCCCACACCAGCAGGCGCTACGTCACTGCCGCCAGCCCAGGATTCTGTGCCCCGGAACGGGAAAATGAGCCCATCCCCTGGTTTTATTTCCCACGTGCTTTGTTCCCAGGGCCCTGGTGGCAGTCCTTGACCTCTGCGGATACCAGAGATGGATGTCTGCCTCTGTCTCTCTGCCTCCCCCGTCGTCTCTGTCCATCCCATCAGGAGGTAGAGGCGAGGCCCTCAAGGCCCGAGTCCAGAGGGAGGCAGGAGGCTGCCCAGGGTCTCCTTGGTCCTGGGGCCCACCTACTGTGTGCTGAGGGCCCGATGCCACTCCGCACAATCCCAGGAGGCACAATCCCGCCACCACCCCACCACAGCAGGGGGAAAGGCGCCCACAGCACCCTCCGCAGAGGGCGGCGGCCTGGACAGTCCCTGACGCACCGGGGTCTTCCCTGCAGCTCAGGGAGGTGTCACACCCGAACTGCATTCCGGGCAGGACTCTACAATCCAGGGGCCCTCACCTTCTCCCCCGAGACAGGAGGGTCTGTGTGCGAGTCCCGGAGAGCCCCGAGGTGGGCTCGGGAGCCTCCAGAGGCTCCTGGCTGTGCTGCCCCAGGTGGAGGGGAGAAGTGCCCGCAGCCTCTGCCTTTTCCATTCTGACTCCACCAAGCTAGCGAGTGGACGGCCTCAGGGGGCAGGCCAGTTCCTCAGGCCAGGGCCCCCCATTTCTGGAGGCTGCTCTGCAATGATCCAGTGCCGAGGGCGAAGGTCCCTCGACATGAAAGGAGGAACGCAGGAGCTGAGACATAACCGGCGTCCAGGGGCCGTCCTGCGGGTGCGTCGTCTGAGCCTGGGGCGATGGATGGCAAGGGGACTCGGGGAGATGCCGGCAAGGACAACCTTCCCGAGGACCCGGGCTCTCACTGCATGTCCACTCCGAGAGAACCACTAGGGCCTTTCCATCAAGGGTCTTTCTAGATCATCTCAAAAGTCCCTGTAACACTCTCTGTTGGCTCTAAGGAGGCCTTCATCTAAAAGGTTCAAAATGTTTCAGGTGACACTAAGGAAGCAGAAACCCTGCGGGGCCCGTTTGTGTCTCGGTGAGATGGATCCTGATTTCAGAACTAAGAAAATGTGAACCAGTGTGCCTCAGCATCCTGAGACACAGCCATCCACACGGGAGCCGAGCGGAGCTCCACGGGGAGGGGACGTGGGGGGGGGACGGGGCGAGTCCCCTGCGATCTGCTGTCCTTTGTCCCCCTGGGCCTGGTGCAGTGTGTGGATGTGAGCAGTGCCCAGTCACTGGGGCTACTCAGGGGCTTCACACCCCATTATTTCTTGATGTGGGGCTGGGCTCTCCATGGGGGAGGCTGCTGGCCAGCGGGGGCAGGCCAAGGACAGGTGCCTGACGTGGCCGAAGAGGCCAGAAGAGCAGAAGGAAGAGAAGTCGGCGACCGGCGGGCACAGAGGGTGACCACCTCAGCAGCCTCGCGGGGGTTCTGTGGGAGCCCCTCACAGAGAAACCCGTAACCACAGGGCACCAGGGTGCAGGGCCTCAGGCCTCTCTCCTTCAAGGGCAGAGGGCAGCAATTCAGCAGAACTAGACCCCGACTCCACGGGAGAGACCCAACCGTGGGCTCTGAGGTTGGCTAGCAGCACGATTTGGAGTTTCTGGCCTCTGCCCACAGTATCGGGGCAGGAATCACGCAGCAACGTGGCGTGGAAGGCCTTGGCCGCAGCTCCCCTGGATGGCGCGGCTCCGAGGGTGGCAGCATTGGGGATCTTCCCTGTGTGGTGCGCTGGGACCCAGGCTGTGGGCAGGTGCTTCCCAGGACCAGTCTGAGGATGTCTGTCCTTACCGCAGTTAAATGACAGCTCTCCAACTGAGGTATGAACCCAAACCCAGCACCACGTCACTGGCTAGCAGGAAAACATGAAATGAAAAGGTGCAGGAGCTGCGTTGGGCAGGAAAGAAGTCAGAGTTCACAGCATGCTCCGCGTAACTCACGGAAAGAACGAGGTGGTGACTTTCTATTGTAAAGGGAGCCATTCACAACAAAAGGCTATAATTGCTGTGACCTTTTAAGCAGGGAAACACATTGTCTTTATAGAGGAAAATGAATGTCAGCAACGTAAGAGACATGAGCAGAAACCAAACGAAGTCCGAGACCCTGTCCAGTAGGTCCGCCTGTCGTTGACAGGTCATTTGGGCAAATTGTACACAAAGGGAGAGAAGAAATGGACAGAGGCATTAAGAATGGTCTGAGGGAGGAAGCACCTTGGGAAATGGGACTTTTTCTCCATGTCCATGGGAGAGTGGATAAAATGCACCAAGTGTTAGGCTATAAATAAAACCTCCAACTGGCAAGAGCAGAATGTATGTGGATTGTATTCTCAGACCACAGCACTCAGACACAGAAGAGAACAGGAGAGGAAGGAAGGGCGGGTGGAGAGAAGCTGCTCACATTTAAAAATTTTAACCTTTGAAAATTAAAATATGAAAAACCTCTTTATAATCCTGAGTTTAAAACAAAGGGAAGGTCATAGGAGACCCATCGAGGCGGAAGGAGGACCAGGGCCGCTGGGCCTAGCGCTTGGTTCTGGCCTTCTTTGCAGAGTGACGGGGTCACTTCCCCAGCCACAGTGGGGTCGGGTTCCCTCCCCTGGTGTTCGGACTGCGCTCTGATCCACCTGCTCCGAGGGAGCCCTGCAGCCAGGCCTCTGGAGATACCTGTGCAACCTCTGCTGCTTGGGAAGCGGAGAGACCTGAGCTAGCCCTGGGGTGCTCAACCCCAGGTGAGCACCCCACATCAGCCCTCTGGGACTTCCCAGCCGTCGTGGACTCCAGCCTCACCAGAGACCTGCCCACTACCACAGGGACAGAAGAACCACCCGCTAAGCCCTGCCCGACTGCTGATCCGGCCGTCCTGCCAACCCCGGGTGTTGACGTGAGCTGCTCTAGTCCTGCTTCTTCAGAGAGGAGAAAGAGCACACTGTGCAGTCCAGCTGCAGAACAGGAGCCCGAGGTCATGGTTTTCTGTCCTGGAGAAACACCACACCCGACCCAGGACTGCGACCCGGCGGCTAGTCGGCTGAGTGTCTTTGGCCACTCGCATCTGGTTTTTGTAGGGGCCACAATGATTAATTAATGTGAGTCTGACGGAGTCTGCCTTCTCTAAGTGTGGAAGGTGTGGCTGCCCTGCTGTCCCCCCGGGCTGTGCTGTCCACTCGGGCTGGGCAGAGTGAGGGCAACTTCATAGGCACACACTTGGCCTTTTATGCACTGACCCCATAACCAGAGGATTCTCCCAGCTCCCAAGTCTGTCCACTCCACTCACATGTATTCCAGACAGCAGATCTGGGGCTCCCCGTGAGCTGAAGAGAGGCTGCACCCCACCCCTCTGCAGCCAGCACGGGGTCCGTGGTGCACCCTGGAGAGCCTGGGCTTCAGTGTCACAGCCTGGTCCAGCAGCCCTCCGGGGTCTGGACACCTGCTTTTCCCTGAGGTATGACCCCCTCCGGGGAGCCCTAGAGAACCCCTGTGTCGGTGACACAGTGACCCGGCCTCTGCTCAGTGGGGGAGTTCTGGGTCTGGGAAACTAGCAAAGGAGGTAACATTCTATTGGACGTCCTACCCCCTTCCTCCTGGTCTTGCCATTGATGTCGGTTGATTGTGTAGAATAAGCAGTTCCATCCCTGGCAGCCACCTCTCCGTACCTAGGAATACCGTGTTCCCTTGGCCATGTCCGCAGCTCCCTGGGGAAAGCACCTGGTTGGTAGCTCTTGGTGATGCTTTCTAGTGACATACCATCCTGCTACGGGACATGCTCCCTCCCAGCCTCGGTGTGAAATGTCCCCCATCACCACTGCCATCTGTGAGTCAGTTTGCAAAGGCCTGTCCTGGTACCATCCTATCCAGGGGGACACTCCTGGTACCATCCTATCCAGGGGGACACTCCTGGTACCATCCTATCCAGGGGGACACTCCTGGTACCATCCTATCCAGGGGACACTCCTGGTACCATCCTATCCAGGGGGACACTCCTGGGAGCGATTTTGGTGCACTTCGGCTAGGCCAGACATTAGGTGGAACACTCTTCTGAATGTGCCCATGAAGGTGTCTGGGTGAGAGGGACATGTGGTTGGCAGAGCGAATGAAGCACACGGCCTCTACCACCTGATGGCCTTGCCCGATGGGGCAGGCTTGAGTAGAGCCAGGGGTGGACCTCTCGGGGCCAGGAGGCGCCCCTCCCACCTGCTGCCTCGCCCCCTCCCAGTGCAAGGCACCAAGGCTCTGTGCTGCGAGGAGGCCTGGGGTGGACACCTGCCCTACGCCGGTGACCCATCGCCCTCAGCCCTTCAGCGTCTTTCTCCAGAACCACGGCTGCCCTCCACCCAGTGTAGCCACCTGCTTCACGATCACAACCCACACTCGCCTCTCCAAACATCCCGAGATCGCACCGGCTCTGATGCTTCCCAGCAGGCGGGGAGGCCGGTCGCCACAGCTCCCAGAGTGCCTCCGGCGAGTGACTTCATCCTCCTCCTGACACGGGAGGGAGGGGACAGTCCTCACTTGGTAAAGCACTATGAAAATTAAATACCATGATACATTTATTATTGCTTAGCACATTTCTTGGTATACAGGAAAGGCTAAAAAAAATTAACTATAGAAAGCACATACACTGCGTCCTACAAGTCAGTTTTACTTATCAATATAGAGGCAACAAATTTGAGAAAAATACTGTGAATATGTATTTGGCATTATATGGAAAAACGCATCACATCAATCCCAACTGACATTTTCATTCATGATATTAGTTGTAGTTTAAGTTGTGTGTTACTATGATTTAACATAGATCAAAAATCAATCATAAACTCTGCGGATATTGGAAATACATTAACTAAAAACTTCATTGCTGGTTAAAATGAAAAGAAAACCTCTTAATTGATTAGGAGTATATCTCTGTCAGATGGAATAGATTTCTCTCTGTCCCTCTGTCCCTCTCTCTCTCAGTGCTGGGGATTGAACCCAGGACTCAGGATGCTTCCCCACTGAGCCACATCCCCAGCTCTTTTTATTTGGGGACAGCTCTCCCTAAGTTGCTTAGGGCCTTGCTAACTCACCCTGGCTGGCTTCAGACTTGCTACCCTCCCGAGTCTCCAGAATCCATCTCTCCCAAAGCAATAGCTAATGTCACACTTTATACTGAATCAGTCCCATTAATTCCCCAAATAATACAACGATTGCTATGATCACAACTATTATTAACCAGCTTATTGATCAAGATAAAGTGATGAAACAAAGAGTCAATTGAAGTTATAAGTCGAAAGTAGTCTAGGTTTAACCATATCACCCCCAAATCAGTGCGTTGAAATCCCCAACCCATACCTCAGACAGTGACCTCATCTGGAAATCTTTGCAAATGATCAATTTAAGATGAGTCAAGGGGTCCCTGATCAATATGATCTGTGTCATTTACGGATGGGAGACTGGACACAGAGCCACTCAGGGAGAGCACCGCAAGAAGATGGCAACAGAGACGGGATGAAGCTCCCTCAGGCCACACAGCGCCCAGAGGCCAGAAGAGAGTCTCCTGCCGGCCACAGAAGGAACTTCCCTGCTGACCTCTGCCCTGGACCTGCCTCCAGGGCTCTGAGGAAGCACGGTCAGCGGGTCAGGCTGCCCGGCTCGCGGTCCCTGGTCCTGGGAACACGGAAGGAACTACGTCAGAGAGCAAGAGGCTGGGAATGAACAGCTAAGGTCGGCCTCCACGTAAAGTGGGTTCGCTGCACATACAATAAGTCTACCCAAAAGCCAGCCCACGTGAAGTCGGAGACGACTGATTCAAGTGCATAACGGGGGAGACATCCCATTTCCAGGAGAAACCTGACGCAACGCCAGACGCCGGGGCCTTCCCAGGGCCTGCAGCAGAGGCCCAGGGGAGTGTTTTGGAGCAGCGAGAGCCAAGGCACAGGGAGGGGACAAAGGAGGGGTCACCACGCAGCTCTGGGTGGGAAGGCCGAGGAGGTGTCTTCTGACACGCCGACCGCCGTGCCGGAACAGGCGCCCAGCGGCAGGGCATCGGCTCCAGGAAGCGGGAATGGGTCAGAGGATGAACAGGGACCAGTCCAACAGGAGGAGCCCAGGAGAAGCGGCAGGAGCGTGGCCGTGACTTGAAGGCTGTGGTCAGCTGGACCTTGCTCTTGAGGGAAACCTATGCAGCGTTTGGTTTCCCGTGTAGCAAACCCCGCCAAACCCTAACCCGTGCACGTCATCCATAGGGCTGCCGAGTCTTGGAAAAGCATTGCATCTGGGTTAAAAAAGAGCAAACAGGTCACACTGAGGGTCCCAGGTGACCTTGCTGATGTGGCAGGTAGAGTGATACCCCCACCAAGAAGTCCCAGTCCCCAGACCTGAGGTTGTGCAGCCTCACGTGGAAAAGGGGATCTTGCAGGTGTGACTGAGGCCCTCAAGACCGAGGATGGTCCTGGATCTCCGGACGCGACCTCTTTGTGATCACCTCCGTGTTCAGAAAAGGGGCAGATGTGTCGGAGAGAGGAGATTGATGATGGAAGTAGAAAGCACAGAGAGGGTGGGATACTCAACAGTGCCACACAGCTGCTCTGAGACGGAGGAAGAAACCAGAGCTGGCCAGCCCAGGCAGCCTGGGGGACAGGGAGCACCAGCTTCCAGAAGGACACAGTCCTGCCAGCACCTGAGGGCTGCTGACACCAGAGCCACCTGCTGATGTCTTTTCTTTGGCAATTTATTTGCTTTGGAAGATAATTAAACATGCAGACTGAAGGACGTGAGGAGCAGGAGATGTTCCCCCGCAGCAGGGACAGGGGCACATGGGACAGGTGCAGCATTTGGAAAGAGGTTCAGTAGAATGCATCAAAATTTAACATCAACCTCGTAAAGTTAATCTACTTCTGATTTCCTATATCATAGTATCTGTAGGTTACCAGAAAAATACGTACAGAAATATATCTTCAAAGTGTGAAATACCACCGACAGCGAGCTGCAAACAAAAGTCCAACAGTCAGAAATGAGCCTGTGACTCAGCACATGCTGGACTGGAGTCGTAGGTGGTGATCCAAACTGGTGACACGGGTCTTGGCCACGAGATCTGTGACACATGCGCCAGAGCATAAAGTGCCTGTTTTACATAACAAAATATACACAGTGATGCCTTGTTAATCACTCCGGTTCCCACTGAGGTACCCGAAAAATATTCACAAAAGTGTTACTAGTGTTTTGTGTGTGTGTGTGTGTGTGTGCATGACATAAGCTAATTTTGGGTTAAAGACTGGTCATTTTTCTCCTTCTTATAACTATGTTTATATGGACAATTTTTACGGTTTGTGGAGATAATATTGGAGAAGGAACCACAGCAGGCAAAACAGGATAAGTGCTGGGATATACAGATGGCCAAGGATAAAGAGCCTTCACATGTAATGGACCCTGTGGGTCACTAAGAAGAACTGAAATATATAAAAAGAACGATTCACAAAAAAAGAAATACACAGCCAAGAAAGACCCCCACCAAAATCTTAATTCTCACGAATAAGCAACAAATGCAATGAGAGAGTGAATTTGAACGTTTCTTTCACGTGGGTAAGGGAAAAAATCATCACTGAGTTACAACTCCTGACTGATTCTAAAAGTCCAATCTGTTATCGCAAGTTGGTTAAATGCCGGCGAGGCCGCTTTTTAATCTGGAACACACTCGGATGGTGTCATTAAGACTGCACAGTTTCTTGCGGGTTGCTGGGGTCCCGCCTGGGGGCAGTTTCTGGGGCTGAGTCGCCCGGGTGAGCAGAGTGGCGGCAGCCCCAGTCCCCAGCAAGGAGAGCCTCGGCGCTCTGCCATCTGAAGGCCAGCATCCCGTCCACCGCTTGGATAGAATCCCACTGAAAGCTTTCTCAAGACTATTTTAATTTGATTAATTTCTCCAATTTATAAAGCTGGGAAGTTTTTTTGAAAGCACAATTGCATTATCTCATGGAGACTTTATAGATTTGAACCACCAACGTGCATTAAAATAGCTGCAGTTATAGGAAACGCCAGGTCTCTGTTGGTAGGGTGTCTGCTCTCCAGCTTGGGAGCCGCTATCTGAACACTTTATCTTTGGTGGTGGGACAGAATGTTCTGATCATTCAAACACATCCATTCATCAAAGCCAAGATGAAACTCAGCTTCAAAAACTGACCTTGTCGTTGGAGCTGGATTCTCTGCCAGCAGGAAACAGAGAGCGTCGCCGGAACGCGAGCGGGGAGGTTTATGGGAGTCCCTGACACAGATCTGCAAGAGAGCGGCATGGTTTCAGGGACACGCACCTCCATCCTCCACCCTGAAACAGATTTCTCTACTTTCTGCTCTTTGTTGCCTGAATTTATCCAACTGAGCCTTCTTTATCACCAAAGGCTCACAATTGCTCTAAAGCAGGGAACACAATCCATACCCAGAATGGTCCAAATGACCGACATCAGGCCTCTTCCAGAACAGAAGGGGACGGTGGCGTGCTGGACGTCAGCCTGCAGGAGGAAGAGGTGACAGAGACCGTAGGGATGGAGGATCCATACCGCAGTTTGTCCTGTCCCACCGTAGTTGACGCTATGGCCAGTGTGTACACTAGGTAGCAAAGTGGTCATCACTATCCATTTGTCTGTTTTGATGCCCATAGATTATGACATCCATCCTTGAAATTAAAGATGAATGCTTGCATACTGAGCAGAAATCCCATTAGTGAGAAACCAATAAACCCAAGCAACTGGTTAGAAAGGTCTCTCCATTTTTCTCCCGCTCTCCCTTAAATAAAAGGTAAATGGCAAATGTTGAAAGGCAAATAAGAAAAATATTCTGGACTTTCATCTTTATGCATATCTTTAAAGCACTAATTAAAAAAAAATAAGTAGAAGGAAGACGGTGGAGTAGAGGACGGGTCGAGTGGGAGGAGGGGCGGGAAGGAGGTAACACTGGGCCTGGAAGTGGAGCAATCCATACTCCACGCTTGTGAGATGGGGTCCGAGCGAGCCCCACTCCTGTGCGTGACCCTAACACACCATGAAAACCCCAGGAGAGGAGGAGAGGAGGGTTCGCTCCTCAATCCTGTCCCCACAGCAGTCTTGGGCCGGAGGTGCCCACATCACAGGCTCGGACATGTTGAACTTCTAAAGCAAGGGAATGTGCGGCCCCTTATGTGAGCTTCCAGCACGGGCGTATTAGAAAAATGTGACGAAAAAGAAGAACCCTGAGCTCTGGGAAGCCGTCAGGCCCAGCAGTCATCTTGACATTCCAAGGAGACTGAATGTGACACTGAAAAATCACAGGACACCAGGGTGCTGCTATTTAAAACTGAGAAAGGGTGACCACCGTGACTTTGAGTTTGCAAAGATCCCTCCGGGGCTGAGTCCTGTTTTGGAAGGCCACGGTCACCTCCAGCCCTGCAGATGGGTGGGAGGCTGAGCCGCAGCGCGCCCCTCGGCAGGCGGCCCCAGCGCTCCGTTCTGTGTCGGAGGCAGGCGGTGCTGGGGGACCCTCTAGCCGTGAGCACCCAGGCCTGGTGAGACCCAGACGCCCCCCGGACAGCTCTGCCTGGAATCTTGTAATTCCATTTCTAGGCAGCGCCAGCTGCTGGGAAATCCTTCTGCTGAGTCTCTGCTGCTTCACCTAGAGCCGGGTCTGGTCTGGGCAGGCCCAGCTCGCCCCTCCCTGCCGCTCCAAGACGGCCCCCAGTGTCTCTCGGCACACCGTGTTTTCCTCCAGGCGTGGAATTCGTCCCTCGCCCTTGGCGAGGTTGGCCGTGACTCTTGTCCATCGCTGCAGTGTCCAGAGCTGAGGGTCACAGCACAGACACGTCGGTCCACCCCGAGCAGCACAGCCGTGAGCACCACGGGCCTTGTCTGTCCAGGCTGCCCGTCTGCTTCTCCCGGCACCTCACCCCAGTGCTGCCCTGGGCAGATGCGCCGAGCCTGCAGTGGGGTCCTGAGTCCTTGATGAGGGCCAGGCTGGGAAGGAAGTGGGGCTGCTTCCACCCCTCGCCTGGAGGGACTCTGCTTCTCACGCTGCCACCACCAAGGTCCTTGGAAATGTGTGAGGAAGAGGTCGAGGACTGACCCAGAGGCCTCTTTAGCCCAGGCTCGGGGGTTCAAACTGTCCACTGCTCGTGGGAGTCCAGGAGCCCCAGGACTGCACACCTGCCCTCAGCAGACGAAGGTCCACCTCGGGGAGGTGGGGGAGGAGGCAGGGAGGATCGGCAGAGCCCTGCGTTCAGGGGCGACGGTGGCAGGGAAGTTCAGGGTAGCAAGCGTTTCTCCATTTGTCCCATCTGTCCTTTCCCCTTGGACAGACTGGCCACACGCTGCAACACAGACATCCATATTCCAGGCATCTGCACTGCACACCCAGACAGTGAGGCAGAGAGAGAGTGAGGCAGAGAGACAGTGATCAGAGAGACAGTGAGGCAGAGAGACAGTGAGGCAGAGAGACAGTGAGGCAGAGAGACAGTGAGGCAGAAAGAGAGAGTGAGGCAGAGAGAGAGTGAGCAGAGAGACAGTGAGGCAGACAGACAGTGAGGCAGAGAGAGAGTGAGCAGAGAGACAGTGAGGCAGAAAGAGAGAGTGAGGCAGAGAGAGAGTGAGCAGAGAGACAGTGAGGCAGACAGACAGTGAGGCAGAGAGAGA